AAAAAAAAAAACATTTTGAACAGATATCTTTGTATCCAAGCAAGCCCTAAGCTAATCTTCAGAAAATTCACTAATATATTTAGTGCTATTCCACTTTGGTGAGCAAAATTTCAATATAAGTGAATTAGTTTTTTTAATGGTACCATTTGAAGCACATTATTTTCCGACTGAAGTGCCCCAGCCTGCAAGCAAAAAAAGTTTGGTGTCAGTAAATTATGAGTTTATAAGAAACAAAAGAAGAAACCATCAATCAAAGGAGATTTTACAGCAGGTTAAGCAAGTTACAGCACTGTACAAAACACAAAAAATGCTGGCATGGTTAAAACAAAGATAAAAATCAAGATGCCTGCATCAAGCGCTTCGAAAATCTGCACGATTATTAATTTAAATGTTTTCACTTCATTATATTTGAGATTACAGCATTTTTCCATTTAAAAGCACAAGCATTGTCAAACGACTGAAAGTTATATTTCAATGAAAAAAAATATATTTTAAAAAAAAAACACACAGAAGATTCAAGTTCACATACTTGTTCATGAAGTGAGCCCCTTTTCTCTTGGAGAAGTGGAGTGCGCAGAAAATTGTTGACTACGTTCTCTGTTCTACTGCTATGCTGTGGGTTTGAATCGGAGGTTTTCGGTGCTACAATGCCCTCTGAAAAAACTATCTTTTTCCCATCACTGATATCACCATTAAATGTACTATTTGATAATGTTTTCACCAATGGACTAATACTTTCCCCTTCAGCATGGTTTTCATGTGATAAAGTGGAACTGAAACCCATTCCAAGTTTTTCCATCATTTGTGCTGCCAATTGCTAAAAAATTGAAGTGAGGTACATTGGGGGTAAAAGAAAAGAAAATAAAAAAACCCATTTTTAGTGCTGCTAAATGAAAAAGAAAATAGCATGCTTGCATACTGAAAATTTCAATTGAATTTGACGAAGCACGGCAGGCTTCACAGCAAGACCTGTAAAGTAATTGCATATCTTAGCTATATCTGAAATAAACCATGATATTCACCGGTGTTTTTCAACCAATAAATTACTCATATCTGCTCAGACAGTTCTCACGGAATGCAGAACAATAAACTAAAAATTATAACCGAACGACGAGTAAATTAAATTTGTTTCCTGATATTTAGCCAATATACAGGAGAACTGTAAGTAAAGTGACATATAGTTAACTAAAAGAATTCTAAACTTAACTTGCCAAGTCATTCACACACACGTAATATACCACGCGGCACGCGTGATGTAATTATTACAGCTATAGTGGTCATTTAACATCATACATATCAAGTTAACACCATACAAATAAATCACATAAAAGCATTAGGGAAAAACTATAACTAGCTTAGACCAAGTCAATACAAAGACTGATAACAGTCCGGTTTATTAATCAAAGCAGACATACATATTAAGTAAAAAATGCTTGGTCATTCTTCTATGTCAATCTTCAGAGGGTGTTTGTATACAAATAAATACATACTCATACTCAACTCATACATAAATTTAATTCAATATTAACCTATCACCAGTATCCTCAATATTATCAATATAATTAAATAATATCGATAAAATATTCTTACACATCACATCACCTTCATCCGCTCACATAATTTTAACTACCTATCACTTCCAATAATTTATTTCCTATTTTTACATCAAATCAATTTTAATCATTTTATTTTAAATATTATTTTAATTTCCCACTAAAATTAACTAAACCAATAAAAAACTAGTTTATTTGTTTCCAAACACACCCTTAGCAATTTCTTTTCAACATAGATGCCTGATGTATAAGCATTTAAGAGAACTAAATAGTTCTAATTTTTGCTATAGATATGTCTATAACAACTTCTGTGAAGCATTCACACATGACTATACATGACTAGAAGATTATCGAAGAATCACGAGTTTAATAAGCATTATATATCGTAAATACATACCAACTCCAAATCCATGGCCAAATCCCACTCCACAGCCAATGCCTGCTTCTATATGCTTTGCCCCCACTTTCCTCAACTATATAAATAAAAGTTACAGAAAAAAAAAATCGTTAGAAAGCTAAATCTTCAAAGCAAGTAGAAGTGATACGAAATAATGGACATGAAAAAAAACACATACAGAGCTGTTCACATGTCGATGCACACCAGAAAAGGCATCAGTTGCACCTCTAGCAGCAATCATAACTTCACCCAGAACTGGTATTGCACCTATAACATTAAGGCTTCTCAATCAAAAACAACAAGTTTTCTCATTACAAAAAGTTGAAGAAAAAAAAAAATGTGTATCTAGCCACAGCAATAAATAGTTAAACTCGAACAATTTATTGAGAGCCCAAGTTTCACAAGACCTATAGGGTGAATTGTAAATAAATTTAAAAATCCACATTGTTCATCTATGTTAGCCGGAGTCTTCTATTTAGGAAGAGTACTCGTGTCATGTTGTGTCGACACTGGTATGGGTATGAGTGTCGGGTGAGGCATTTTAGCCTAAAATGTTCAAGATTTCTAAACTATTGACGAGTCGGACGCTCATATCTCCATACCCGATACATCACCCATATCCGAGTCCAGGTAGCATAGTTGTTCATCTATAGCGAGTTAGCGACCCATTTCAAATTCAACTTTTCACAGTGATTTTAACGTATCAAAACCGATCAAACCAACCACAACAAGGATAATAAAGCCCACAACAGAACACTACAAATTACATTGATTTCAGTGAATTTTGCACAAGAAATCAACAAAACACAACGAAACTAAGATGGGCTTGAAAAAAGATGAAAACCCCAGTAAAATAAGAGAAAGGAAAACCCAATCGAATAATTTGCAGGGACTAAAAGTACCTAAATTCAAAGGGCGGCCGACGCCGACGCCGACCCCACAACCGACGCCGAAGCCGGTGAACACTTGGCCGATTTTCAGGGAGAATGGATTTTCCATCCAAATCGCGGTTTTCTCTGTGGGGTCGTTCGTGCGGATGACTCCACTGCTCCCTTTGGTCGACATTGTTTATTGAATTTGCTCTGCAACTAGTCGGGTCAGTTGGTAGTGAAAGAGAAAAGGGTTGCCATTTTTTGAGACCGCTGCTAAACTCGCCAATCCTTTATATACCATTTCATTATTTTAAAATAAATCCATATTATCATTTTTGAAAAAAAAATACATTATGACTTATATTTAAAATGATGATACGTGGCTTACACAATTTACCATCTTATATTATATATATTTTTTAATTTACTTCATATAATATAATTGTATTATATATATTTTTTATTTTTTTATCAAAGTTAGTTTAAATATTTTTTTATAATTTTTGTCAGAGTTAATTTAAATAATTTTATTTTTAGAATTAATAGGTAATTTAATTTTAATTATAGAGATGATATTATTTACTTATTTCGTATGTATAATATACGTGTCAAATCAAAGCTTATCCAGAAACAATTAAATAGATGCATTATATATAAAAAAAAAATCAATAAATAAATAATTATTAACTTTTAAATATATTTATAATTAAAGTTGGTAATTTGTTATATTTTTAAAAGAGGATCTAAAAGAAAAATACCTTGTAAATAACGTCAACAATTGAAAATAGTATTAAAACATAATCAATGGTTTTAAAATGGACCTTAAATATCTATTATTTTATGGATATTTCAAGCCTAGTTAATTTTATATTGAAATAAATTAAAATTCATTCAAACAAAATAACAAAGTCATATAGGACCCCAAAATGTAGGCCTGCCACTTAAGTTTGGCACATTCGAAAATCATCTACATACAAATTTATAAAAAGTGACCCTTACACTTTACATTACTTAAGTGGTCATATAATAGTTATTATTCAACTCGTTAAAAATTCTCACACAAAAAAAAAATCAAAAGAAAGAAAAATGAAGGTTATACTTATGAAATTTATAGAATTTTTTTTTTTTCTTCAAACTATTTATTTTAAATTTATTTAATTTTACCTCATTAAGTTTTTTTTAATAGCTAAATTATTTTAATCTCTTAACAAATTAAATACATTAACATTATATAAACAATTGTTTTATTTTATATATATATTTTTTTTTGAATAATATGACATTATAATGTGGGACCCAACATGATACAATTTTCGCGGCGGGTGTGGCTCCAAATGCTCAGCACATCATCGTCCATGAGAACCTTTTTCCGTATGGTGAAATTTTCGCCACACATTGGCCTCCATTTCCCATTATGGCTCCAACGCAAGTAACCCTAGCAATTGGTCATGCTCTGTCAAGCTTCAACCATGGCGGCGCTAGCTACAATACCTCAAAAGTGGCCGCCGGCGCTTGGTCCGCCCCAAATCGAAGTGAGACGGCGGCCCATCTGCACCGCGTCAATGGCCGGCGCCGAACCTGATGTCAGGAAAGAAGATATAGTTATCGTCGGCGCCGGAGTTGCTGGCTTAGCTACTGCGGTGGCTCTGCAAAGGTAACCGTTAATTTGATTGTCCGTGTTTGGAAAAATTGACTGCGATTCAATTTTGGGCTTTTTGTGCTTCTGCAAAAGGGTTGGAATCGGGTCGTTGGTGCTGGAGCAAGCCGAGTCTCTGAGGACTGGGGGAACTTCTCTTACCTTCTTCAAGAATGGATGGAAAGTTTTGGATGCTATTGGGGTAGGGAGCCAGCTGAGGAGCCAATTCCTCGAAATTCAAGGGTAATTTTGAAAGTGTTCGTGTTGATTTTTCTTTTTTTTTTTTCCTTTTCTTTTTTCTGTATTGTTCTGTAACCTACTCGTAATTCTGAAGAAATTAACAGCTGATGACAATGTCGATCATATGTCTAACAAGCCCAGCTCGAGAAATGGTGGTACGTTCAAAGTATTCTAACGAGGCATCGATATGATTCTTCAAACTATACACACTCGCTGGCTTCCAATTTGTCGTCTGTCTGTCGAATGTCTGCCATCTTTTGACCCTTTGCCTGTGTCTGTAATCAAGTAATCTAATCGTTCGTGAGTCTTCTTGCTAGCGTAGTTCATGAATTTTGTATGGGGTTCGTAAGAGTGAAGAGTATAGAGCCTTATGTAATTATGGCCATAATGTAGAGGTTTGCTGGATATAGTTAACACAAAATGAGGATTTCCCTTCTAATGCATGTCAAACTCTCAAAAGATTGGCACGATAACCTATAGCCGGAACGTGAATGAGTGAGTGAGAGTTTTCTTTTGTGCATCATTTTTTTTTTCTCAACGTGTAGTTTATCAGCATTTGAAATCTTGCGCCTGTACTTTATCCTTTTCCCCTTCACATAGGATTGTGGTGAGATCAGCAAGTGGAAGAGAGTTGCGGTCCTTCAATTTCCAAGACGAGGATCCAAGGTTAAAAAAAGAAATCTTCCTTTTAAATATCTTTGTGGTGTTGAAGGTTTTGACCGTTAACATGGGAAACAGTGCAGTCAAGAAGTTCGTGCTGTAGAAAGGAGAATTCTGTTAGAGACACTTTCTTCCCAGCTTCCCCCGAATGCAATTTCGTTCTCCTCCAAGCTGAAAAAGGTCGAAACAAGTGAAAATGGTGAAACCATTCTTAGACTTGAGGACGAATCCCAGATATCATCTAAGGTTAGCAAACGTTTTGTTTATCTCCCACTCAAGAAATATTTTAAGTTTGCGAACATTTAACGTGTGCTAAAAATTTTGTTTCGAGTTTAGATTGTTATTGCTTGTGACGGGATAAGATCTCCAGTGGCCAAATGGATGGGCTTTCCTGATGCAAGATATGTCGGGCACTGTGCGTTACGTGGGCTGGGCTATTACTCTAATGGGCAACCATTCGAGCCCAGAGTAACTTACATCTATGGAAGAGGGGTGCGTGCAGCGTACGTGCCGGTTTCCCGTACGAAGGTGTACTGGTTTGTCTGCTTCAACTGCCCATCTCCAGGCATATGCTTCAAAAACTATTATGCCCATGTTGTTATTATTTCTTGAATGAAAAAGTCCTCAAGCATGAAGTATGATGATAATTATCAAGGATTTGTTTAATTATATGCATGTTCTCAACCTTTGCATTAATCAGCATATTGAGGAGAAGAGGACACATTTTTCTTTTCTTTTTCTTTCTATTGTTTCATTTCAAACTAAAAAATGTAGTCATGTCATGTTTAGGCTTAGAGTGTGTTTGGTAAGCACCATAAGCTAGTTTGGTAGAACGAACTTTTTTAAAAACCTTGAACTTATCGATAACTTTTCAAATAAGTTCGTTGAAATTTTATTTCAGCTTACTTAATTTTACTTAACACTTCTATCATATCAATTAGTTTTTCAACAATAAGCCATAAGTTATGTGCTATAAGCTCGAAATCCACTTATCGGCTATCAGCTATAAACTCGAAATTTACTTATTAGCTATTAGCTAAATTGTCAGTTATCAGTTATATCAGTTAACTAGCTTATCTGTTAGGTTTACCAAACATAATTTTAACCACACTCATGCCATTAAGCTGGATGCCTCCGATTACCTGTTTATCGTATTTATTTGCTATTCTACAGAGTTTTTTTTATGCTTATAATGTTTGACCACACATTTGGCCAAAAATGAAACAACCATCTTTCTTACCAAACTCTAATGCAGGTCCAAAGATAACAGACCCAACCATTTTGAGGCAAGAAACTGAAACACTGGTTAAAGATTGGCCCAGAGAGCTTTTGGACATCATCCGGTCCTCGCCGGACGACACGATTATAAGAACCCCTCTTGTCGACAGGTGGCTTTGGCCGGGAATAAGCCCTCCATCTTCAAAAGGAAAGGTCGTCCTAGTTGGCGATGCTTGGCATCCTATGACACCAAATCTCGGGCAAGGTGCTTGTTGTGCTCTAGAAGATGCTGTGGTCCTAACTGGATTACTTGCCGAGGCTGTGAAAACCGGAACCTTCACGGTAGAAGATGCATTTAGGTCATATGGAGAACAAAGGTGGCCACGGATATTTCCATTAACGGCACGCGCGAATCTCGTTGGTGCTTTATTGCAGCTCGAAAATTCGGTAGTGTGTTCTTTGAGAGACAATGTGCTCGTACCTAAGCTAGTTAAGCTTGGGTCCATGCTAGAACATACAAATTTCGATTTCGAGCCTCTCCAATTTGATAAGACAAATTGACTTGTTGGTGTGAAAAATGTTGAATGTGTATAATCTACACGAAATGACAGATTTTCGCACATCTCTCCATGCCAGCAACATGTAATCTACAATTGAGTGTATGCAAACAAGAGTAACATTATACTCGAATTATAAAGAAAGACTTATATTTTCGATTGCAAATGAATGTCAATGATCCTGAAACTGTTTGGCATGTAATAAACATGATGTAAACGTACTGCTGCTTGTATTGTTGTATTATCTAATCTGTTACAAATCAAATGGTTCTAATAAAACTCTCGTCATCTCTGTTGTTCGGATACCAGCGATCTAAATCTTCACTCTGGCAGCAATGGAGTCGCTCATGTCAACTGCCATATGAATATACAGATGTTATTTAGAAGCTAATCGAAAGTCTCCAGTAAGGTAGTTCGATAAGAATTAGCTGAACACTAAGAAAAGTGATAGTACTCGGAAAAAGAAAAAAAGCAATCAGAGCATTAGAAAATTGACAGTAGCAAATAAATCAAGTTAATCACCATTCGTTGAGCTTAACAGCAACTGGGAATGTACCGTTTTCTCCCAACTTAATGTTGTCCGGAATTCGAATTCGGTTTTGACAGAAGTTACTGACTAGTCATTATTCTCTATCTCGACACTCTAAATGCAACCTACTACTGCCACATCATTTGCTCTGCGCAGAAATTAAAACATTCACACACCAAGCAGAACTATCGATTGATTTCTACAGTGATATAAAAGCTATAAAACCAAGTTTTCTCAGTATTTTGTGAATAATACTAGTGATTTTAGGGTCCCTATGTCGGTCAAACCGGTAGAAAAGTCATGCAGAGTCGATAAACTAAAAGTAGCCACAGGATCTTTTCAGAATTGGTTTTTTGGGATGATATGTTACCTGACTAGTTCTTTCCACAAAACAAAGGAAGGATTCACTTTTTTTTTTTTATTCAACTGATCAGGCGAAACGAAATTAACCTTTACAATTAGACATTCCTTAGATAAGAAAGAAAAAGTTCAACTTTAGCTAGATTATTGGATTTTGCTTACTGCAACCGACATTTACAAAATATATTAGAATTTGAAAGATTAAGTTAGAGACACGGGTTAATAAAGATGTTTGTCGTCTTTCTAGATTCACCATCTTTCCGTGCCTTGATCAAAGACTCGACTAACCCCTACGGTCCTTGCAGTTTATATCTAAAGTAATCCATTCATTGCCATGAGAAACAGATTGAAATAGTTAACCAAGCAACTATATTATTCATGAATCATGAATCATGAACCTCACTTATGATCCTATAACAACAGTTCATGGTATAGTTACCTCTCAATATACAATCTTCAAGTTCACCATCATCTATATATAGCAGTACTCAGATCATTCAACATGAACCATCAAAACCAACCATTTGA